AAACTTTGCCACTTAACTATTTACCTCTCACTGTTTACAGTAATGTTTCCTCTAAGGCAGTTTTAAGGATTGGTTATGATACACAATGAAATGTGAATGGGTCATAGATTTTTAACATTTGTGCAGAAAATTATCTTAGCATTCTAACTGTGCTAAAATGGGCAAGTTTTCTGCTCGTGATAAAGTCAAGTTGAAAGATCAGACAAAAGTACATAGATTTATTGTGTATTCTCCTGTGTGCTTAGGAGCCCTAATCATGGACCAGGATCCCATTGTGCTAGGTATGGTACAAACAGAACAAAATGCATGTGCCTGCCCCAAGGAGCTTATGATTGTCAGAAGTAGACTGCTTAGAGGAAATGTAGAAAAGTCTTCAGGATTCACTAACTCAGACTACAAGAAGCAACGAAGAGTCCTGTGGCACCTTATAGACTAACAGATGTATTGGAGCATAAGCTTTCGTGAGTGAATCCCACTTTGTCAGACGCGAAGTGGGATTCACCCACGAAAGCTTATGCTCCAATACATCTGTTAGTCTATAAGGTGCCACAGGACTCTGTTGCTTTTTACAGATCCAGACTAACATGGCTACCCCTCTGATATCAGACTACAAGAGATCATTTACAGCCAATTACATGAACTTCAGCACTACTCATCTGCTAATTAAAGAAAGCGGATGGCAGTTACACAAAATGGTCAAATAGTAGCCATCTAATTAGGTAAATCCTTTCCCTTCAACGCTAGCCAGAGATTAAATGAAAAACTTGGTTTAAACATGGTAACTTCATTCCACCTTCTCTCCACAACGTCTTTGTTATAAAGCAGAGTAGAGATTAGTGGTGAATTGCTTTTCTCTGTTTATTTTTGTAATTCTGCATCTACTTTATTATTTCTTTAGACTGGGTGTCTTGGAAGCACTAAATTTATATTTCATAAACATTCTATAACACTGTATAGCTGGACACATGATATAGTGTAGCATTATCTTTGTATAGCATATAAGCAATAAAATGAAAAGCTTTCTGTATTTGCTATAGTCAAATCATACCATGAAGAGAGATTTTTGACCAGTCTAGTCAACGGCCTTATATAGCAGCTCCCTTAGGGCAAAGGTATCATTGACAGTTTTAAACATGTTTTATAACTTTTAGAAGTGTAGAAACTACAAAATGGAACAGACAGAAGTCTAGAAAACCACTGTTCAAGATTTTCCAGCATTTAATCTAGTCTTCTTGCTGATCACAATTCTAAGGTGTTGGATAAGACAGGAAAGAATGAAACAAGATGATATAGCAGATCTTCTTTTACATGAAGTGGCACAGCAATCATTGTCCAGACTGTGGGGAAGAGGATGGAGAGATGGAGAACAGGAATGCCTACATGTCCATTTTAGATTAGCTAATCAGATTCACCTTTCTTAAAAGTAGAGGTGCGGTTTAATTGTTAGCTGATTTTATTTTGATTAAAGTCTTCTCAAAACTGCATTGTTTCTGAATACAGCCCATGAAACTACTTGAATACGGATATATAAGGAAAGCTATGATAGCACAGCTTCTGAGCACTGACATTGTTAAAGCAGAGTCTGTAGTTTATGGGCACTTCATGAATCCTAAGCTCTGGAATACAGAAGATCATATTTTTTACATTCATGTGAGATTGAATTTTAAAACTTACATACATTCTATATTTTCAGAGAGCTTCTGTACCTCAAGCAGCTGAAATGCAGTTTTGCCCTTTGATTTTCTTCTTTAAACAGAAAATATGATTGAACTATTCGTAAATATTTCTGACAATATTCTTGCTGCTATGAATATATAGTGATGCAGTATAAACTCTGTGTCAAGTCAATTAAGGGACAAATATCAACTAAGGAGCAGCTAATAGTAAACTAGGTAGTATTCCCTGAAGGGCTCACTAATCAGTCATTGATTTGTTACATTTGCTGGTCAAATTTTACGTTACCATTTGAAAGTTTATGTATTTTCTTATTTTGCATTCAGTCTTCACATGTGCATGAATAATTGCCCTTTTAATACTGTTGTAATGACTTGATCTAATGCCCTGGAGTTGCCTCAGGATTATTATGTAACCAATGAGTTTTCATTTTCACTGCAAGAAAGAGTTTGAATTTTTTGCCTTTTGATATTGACTTATTAAATTTGCAATGCTGAAATTTGGCAAGAGGACACGAAAGAACTACATTGCTCTGGGTATAAGAAAGTTATCAGCTGGAAACACTGCATCTTATGGGAAGATGCTGTCACCCAGATGCTTTGGGAACTGTAGCAAATAACTCGATGTTCAGCCTTATCCAGTTGGTAAAAGCTAACGGATTGTCAGAGGTTACTTCAATTTGATATTTTTGCTGTTGGAAAGCTCAAAGTAGAAAACAGGTTGGTGGTGCTTTTCAATTTTTGTTTTGATTTTAAGTAATTTTACCTATGGGAAAAAGCTCATAATTGGGTTTGGGTTTCTCCCACCTCCCCCTTTTCTACATAGTCAATAGGCAGAAACTATGCTTTTCATTGATTATGTCAGAATGAACCATAGGCAGCAGCCATAATAGGGCGAGTGACGTAATCTACCTTCTATTGCTATAGTCATTGTTCAAAGGACAGTTGGTGGTAATTTATTGGTCTGCCCCTCTCCTTTGCAAAACACCCTCTTCTTCAAAAGTGGCCACCTGTCTGGCTCATGTCCATCAACCCCAAGCAGTCAAGGAGCCTGAGCACTGCTGTGTTAAATGATGAGGTGCAACTGAGAGCCTCATTTCTCTGTTGCCTCCTCCCCTTTTACTGCTAATCCCCTGAGGGAGGCGGAACTGGCAGCTGGCTATCATGAGATAAGCAAAGCTAGAAGGGAATGATGTAAAAACAAACTATTGCAATTATACATGCTGGGATTTAACTTCATTCCATATTATGATTTTTTTAGAACACTACATTTTAAAATATTCAAGAGAAAGTCTGTAATGTTGTCAATGTGACTGGAAGATTGTGGTTCTCACAGCGAGAACTTCACATTAGAACTTCACACAAAGAAACAACCCCAGACACCCCCCCCACACAAATTTTATAGTTCAAGCTTCCTTTTTGTCCTCTTTGCCCAAGCAAGTGTTATTCAAAACAAATGATTATACAGCAGCACTGTACTTACCTATATCTGGTAAGGATTCAAACCTTGGTTCTATTACATGCCTATAAAGCATCTTTGTTAATAAAAATCTGTCATTTTTAGTAATGATGGGAAACAAGACACTTTATGAGCTTTGCAACAGTTAAAAAAAATTCTTTCAAATGGAGTTACACAAATTGTGTGGGGGTATTGGGCAAGAAGAGCAGCATTTTCAGGATAAGTTACCTGTAGCATTCTGAGATCTAGGACTTACAAAGTTTAAACCTGGCAATTGCAGCCCAGCAAGCCTAACTTCAGCACTGGGCAAATTGATAGAAACTATAGTAAAGAACGGAATTATCAGACACACAGATGAACACCAATTGTTGGTGGAAGAGTCAATGTGGCTTTTGTAAAGGGAAGTCACATCTCACCAACCTAATAGAATTCTTTGACAGGGTCAACAAGTGCATGGACAAGGGTGACCCAGTTAATAAGGTGTACTTGGATTTTCAGAAAGCCGTGACAAGGTTCCTCACCAAAGGCTTAAGGAAACTAAGTAATCAGGGGATAAGAGGGAAAGTCCTTTCATTGGCTAGTAACTGGTTAAAAGATAGGAAACAAAGGGCAGGAATAAATTATCAGTTTTCACAATGGCAAGAGGTGAACAGTAGGGTCACCCAAGGATCTCTACTGCGACCTGTGCAGCTCAACACAGTCATTAACTGTTCACTCCCTTTTCCAGATCATTAAGTGTCAAAGTTTGCAGATGATACAAAGTTATTCAAGATAATTCCAAAGCTGACTGTGCAGAGTTACAGGGGGAATCTCACAAAATTAGGTGACTGGGCAACAAAATGAAAGATGAAATTCAGTGTTGAGAAGTTTAAAGTAACAGACACTGGAAAAAATAATTCTAACTATGTATCTAAAACGATGGGGTCTAAATTAGCTGTTACCATACAATTAAGAGATCTTGGCATCATCATGGATAGTTCTCTCAAAACTTCAGCTCAATGCACAGCAGTAGATAAAAAGGCCAACAGACTGTTAGGAACTAATAGGAAAGGGATAGAAAAGTAAGACCAAAAATATCATAATGCCACTTTATAAATCACACTTTGAAGATTGTGTCCAGTTCCAGTCTCCCCATCTCAGAAAGGATATAGTGGAACTGGAAAAGGTTCAGAGAAGGGCAACTAAGATAATCAGGGGTATGGAACGGTTTCCATATGAGGAGAGACTAAAAAGATTAGGGCTCTTCAGTTTAGAAAAAAAAAAAAAAAAACCTACTAAGAGGGGATAGGATAGTGATCTATAAAATTATGAACAGTGGGGGGGAGTGTTATTTTCCCTTTCCCACAATACAAAATCCAGGCGTCACCCGATGAAATTAACAGGCAGCAGGTTTAACACAAACAAGAGGAAGTACTTTTTCACACAACGCACAATTAACTTTTGGAACTCATTGCCATGGGATGCGTGATGGCCAAAAGTATAACTGGGTTTAAAAAAAAAAAAAAAAAAAAAGAACTAGGTAAGTTCATGGAGTATAGGTCCATTGATGGCTATTAGCCAAGATGGTCAGGGATGCAACCTCTGACTGCCAGAAGCTGGGAGGGGAAGACCGGGTTGGATCATCCCAGCTGCCCTGTTCGGTACTCTTCCCCTGAAGCTCTAGTACTGGCCACTGTCAGTGACAGGATGCTGGGCTAGATGGACCATTAGTCTGACCCAGTACGGCAAATTTTATGTTCTTAAATTCAGACTTTTTGCGGTTCTCCATCTATCACCTTTTCAGAAGGAAAAGTGTTGAAGTTCCTTGATTTTCAAGGCAGATCGCTAAATTACCACATTAAAAAAAAAGTTATGATTCACTGTTTTACCTGTACAGGTGGCTCAATCATTATCCATGCAGGAAGCATCAAACTTGGGTTTAGAGGCTGAGTTCCTACACGGAAGTAAACGCCGCCACTAGTGTCACACGCCCAGATGTGCTGATTTCCACATGCCAAACTGGTCAATTTTATAGCTCCTAATGATGAAGAGACTGTTAATAATTTGGCATGAACTTTTAAAATTCAGCTAATCTCTACTGTAGAATTTGACGTTTGATTTTACAGAAATATTTCTAAAAAACTAACATTCAAAGAGTTATCAGTATAATCTATACATTTTGGTAAAAGGGAGAACATTTGTGTAAAACTCCAGTCTAACTATAAAGCAAATGGGGGAAAAAATGAAGATCTCTTTTACATTTCATGTGTTTATTCTAGTGATTTCTCCTCATCTGTCTAAAACCGCCTATTTCATGCAGTATCCTGCCATTGATCAACAACATTTTGACAGTGCATCATGTTCTATCACTACTGCTAGAGAACAATGTAATTCAAATGATTATCGTCAGAGAGGAAGAGGCAGAAACCATATGAAATATAATTTTTTTCTATGCTTAGAGAGACAAACTTACATGCGACCTAAAGTGAACTCTCTTCTGCAGTTAGTCATGCTTATAGAATCTTAATGATCTAGGTCTATAAATACATGTCAGCAATGAACATTCCAAATGTTACCAGCAAATGCTAAGGGTGGGTTAATATTTCAAGGTTAACAAGCCTTCATTACTTGTGTTCAGTATAAAACCTATTTGAAAAGCGTCTCCCTATTTGTGTCACAACTTTCTTATTTTATAATGGTCACAAGAAAACTATCAATGCTTTAATCCTACATAAAGCTACATGAAGGCATATAGCTCTGAAACAAGTGTGTTCCAGAGTTCTTAATTTTATTTTCTCTCTCTTTCACAACCGGATTACAAACACCCATCAAATTAAGCTGTGAAATGTCTATGATTTATAAGGATGGGAAAGAAAGCCTATATGATACTGTAGACTGAAATGCTGTGATCTTGAGAATTCTTACTCTTTCATATTTATTTACTTTTAAAAACATCCATACTATCCATTACAGTTAACATTTGGATTTTTTTCTAGTGTTAAAAAAGCATGCACAATGTTAAGTAGTGGAAGACATGAACTAACAATGCTGTTAGGCTGCATACCGAATGCTTTGGTCAGATGCCAAATTAAAGAATGAGAATAAATCTCACTGGTTTATTAAATGTTCGCTGTTTGGGATACCTGTTAATCGACATAATGTTCACCTGGGGGGGGGGGGGGGGGGGGAGTGAAATCTGGCAACCAACTCTTCATAAAGCACATCACTTAATACTTTTCACTTTGATTAGAAGATGCAACTTTACCCTTAAATTGTATGCTTATAGCATTTATCAGAGTACAGATTCTACAATGTATTGCTAAAAGCTTGTAGTAAAAAGACACGAGCTCTATACAGCTTTAATTTTCAGTTTGTTATAATGGTGAATAGATTCATTCCTATATCAAGACTATTTGATATTTAACTGTTTCTGCTTATTGGCTCAAAGGAAAGATTTTATGGCTTATTTCTAAACTCCTTTATTTTAACACTATTACTATTATAATAAAAATAATCACAGAGTTCAAAATTCTATTGCCAGGAGCAAATTTCTACAGCAGTTAGAGGTCTGACATACAGCTACAAAGTCACTATTTAAATAAAACCTCATTACTCCTTGCAGCACAAAGTATGTCTGACAGCAATAGTTTTATGAGAGAGAAGATGGGTAAGGGAATATATTTTATTGGACCAGCTTCTGTTGGTGAAATAGACAAATTTTCAAGTTCTAGAGAGCTGAAGAATAAATAAAAGATATTACCTAACCCACCTTGTGTCTCTCATTCTGGGACCAACATGGCTACAACTACAAACAGTAATAGTTTTGTTACATGATAACTCAGCTGCTTAAATGTTTTGATCCAAATAAGCATCAGCTCACTCAAAAATGGAGTCATATGTCATTTACATGGCATTGCTGGTATTACTAACCTCTAAAGTAAAATATGACATGCCAAAATACAGTCATTACATAAACATTTTCAGCTTTTTTTCCTCCCCCTCTCTTATTGCTTTTACCTTAGGGCAGGGGTAGGCAACCTATGGCATGCGTGTCAAAGGCAGCATGCGAGCTGATTTTCAGTGGCGCTCACACTGCCTGGGTCCTGGCCACCGGTCCAGGGCGCTCTGCATTTTAATTTAATTTTAAATGAAGCTTCTTAAACATTTTAAAAACCTTATTTACTTTACATACAACAATAGTTTAGTTATATAATACAGACTTAGAGAGAGACCTTCTAAAAATGTTAAAATGTATTACTGGCACACGAAACCTTAAATTAGAGTGAATAAATGAAGGCTTGGCACACCACTTCTGAAAGGTTGACGACCCCTGCCTTAGGGAAAGGTCATGCTAACCACCATTCATCCATAAAAGAGGACAAAGGTATCTCTTCGCGTGATTCAGATACATTGTTTATTGTTGAATTGTAAAGGTCATTCTACCGTGTTTAGAAACCTTGACACTGATAGTGTAAACCTTAAATCAAAACAATTTACCGGATACTATTCTACAGTACATAGTGTAGGGACTGGTGAAAGGTACAACTGACATAATACAAAATATTTCAGCATTTATCTTGGAACATGCTCATCCAATTCCAAAGTCTGCATCTCTTTTTACAACAGTTATATGAATGTTTCAAGACAGTTTACTATTTTTAAAACTTTTCCATGAATAAAATTTGGCATCTAGATTTGACAATTATTTTATAGTTATTAAATTTCTTGGGCCACAATGCAACAAGCTAAAGACCTGATTCAATAATTCACTGCATGTGGATGCATTGCTGTGCCTGCACAAAGCCCCACTGACTGCAGAGGTGGACCCGAATGCATTAAATTGAAGGACTGTGTCCCAAAATGGTAACAAGATGATGTAAGATGTTTTATTGCACCAACCAATGCATTGCTACTGTCAATGATTTCTTGGCCTTTCCCCCCTCCCAATCTATAACGGAATCATTTGTTAATCCAGTGGTCACCAACTGGTCGATTGCGATCAACTGGCCAGTCCTAGAGGATCTCCCAGTCGATCACAATCTCTGGTGGTGTAGCGGGGCTGCCGCTAAGGCAGGCTCCTTGCCTGCCGGCCCGGCCCCACACCACTGCTGGAAGCGGCCAGTGTGGCCCCGCGGGCAGGGGGACAAGGGTTCTCCCTCCGCGTGCTGCACTTCTCTGCAAGCACCACCCCCGCAGCTCCCATTGGCTGGGAACGGGGAGCTGCAGCCGTTGGGAGCTGCGGGGGCAGTGCTCGCAGAGAGGGAAAACGCACAGAGCCACATGCCCCCCCCCATCCCTCTCCCCCAAGGGCCGCAGGGGCACATTGGCC